ACGTGCTTCACTAGAAACTACAATATTGGAAACATTGACGTACAAAACAAAGATATCTTGATACAAGAGTTTTCATTTATTGAAATCGGAGGAGCAGTTGTATTCTTTTTCTTTAACTCAAGTTTCTATCCATTGAATTTCTTGATGAGGTTTTAGCGAAACAAATATTTTGTAATGTATCATTCAAAAATGAGTGTTGTAAATTTTAAGTTTATTAGTGAATGATAATTATATCCCTACAGTCCTAGTAATTATTATTAATGTATCCCTAATTCTTCCATATAAGTATGGGGCTTTATGATTCTTAATAAAATACTCATAAATTTATTAACTTCTCTAGTTTTCTCTCTAATTTATAACAACACTGTAGCTATTACTTATTATGCTCAAAATGATTATTGGTTGATGTAAGTTACTGGCCCTGCTTCAATGGGTTTCGAATCTCAAATATAGATGAAAAATTAATTTATAAAAATTAGGAAAATACTACTTGTCTAGGGCCACATTCCACATGGGGCCAAATGGTGCTCCTGTCTGTCTAGGACCCATGTGGCCCTAGACGTATAATCTCTCTCTAAAGATTATTAAAGTTTAGAAGTTACGACATCTTAGAGGCTAATATAAATTCACTCATAATTATAATCATGATCGCATTTTGGGGACGTGGAATGATATAATGACAAAATCTAGCAATATGCCTTTAGGTTTAATATATAATGTCTTAATTCTCTGTCCATTTTTTATTCATTTTCTCGTTTTTAAATATTTATAAATCGACCTACTAAGATGAAAAGATACTTTAAGTTTTATATTCGATTGTAAGTCTTAATATTTGATCATTGACACGTGGATTCAATGATTTTGTGTCACTCTGTTTTTTTTATCACGCCTCTACCTACATGATATATCATTTAACTGTCAAATAAGAAAAATGTGCACAAGCACTCTAAGGCCTATATGGGGAGCATATTGCCTCCAACAGGGACGTATCTAGGGGTATTGGGCAGGGCTATAGCTTAATCTAGTCCCTATCACATTTAATTTTTTTTTTTTGGTATAATTTTTTTTTAATGTAAAAACGATTGTTTACAAGGTGATGTTGCATTTTATCGCCTCATCGACTAGTACTCTTCAAGGTGTTGAGGGCATAGCCCAACATATATAATCAACAATCACCTCCAAAACTACGTAACACTGTAGAAGTATTAGTCATTGGCTCGAGGCAATGAGAGAAAACTCAACCGTTTCCACATTTGATGGCCCTTAGTGTCCTAGGTGGCATGGCTACTCTAGGACTTCTTATGCAATTTGTGTACTCCAACAAGGAGCCACGTGAAATGTGATCGATGTGACATATTCTGTAGTGGTGGTTGGGAGTCAAATCCTCTCCTTTTTTATCAGGGATAGTGTTTGGTGTCCCAAATCGATTGATATCTAGGACTCAACAAATGAAGCTTGGCAAGTGAGTTATTGGGATAAAGTTATGCGTCACTTATTCAGAGGACTTCAACTTACTTCTTTCACTCATAAATACAACATTTATAAGTAACTAAATTAGTGTTTCACTACAAAAATTACACACACTAAAACAACAAAAATAAAAATTTAAGATACATCTGACGTTTTCATTATTATGAATTTACCTGAATTCAGTTGCGTAATTTTGCTTTTGTAAATTTGATAAGACCCGGCGTGTCTACTTGATCTGGTTATCCAATTTATAGTGGAACTTGAGTGATTTGATATGGTCGCGAGCGATTCGATTGCCAATTGATCCAATTACGCTTATTGGACCCTAGTTTTCCAGCCAAGCCGGCCTATCTGGTCTCCAATTTATACCGACTATAATTTCTTCCTTTTCCACATTTGAATATGGGATAGGCATTCTACTTATCAGCCACAACAATTTTCAAAAGAATTTTTTGACCATGTGAAAATAACAAATTCAAATAGATTAATCTAGCATAGATAAATAATTATTCGGCAATATTTATTCGTAATTAACCAAAATGAATTAAATAAAACATTCCAGGGTATTTGTGCAGAGGTCACAGGACAAGAGTCGAGTCTAATTGCCATTATTTTAGTACGTTTTTGTTACATTAATTAGTAATACTATTTTTTAATTAAGGGATGGCTAGTAGGAAGGAGGATATGAAGAAAATAATAAGATATTTGCTTCGAAACTTTGTAAAAGAACACATAAAAGTAATGAACTTCAGGTTTTTCTTTTCTTTTTTTATTCGTCAAAATTATCTATAAAAAGATTTAAGGAGGTGTTCTCAATTGATATTGTGATGAATTTTTAAAATCTTTCAAAATGCAAAGGTCCTCAGTTGAGATTTTAATAAATTTTAATAAAATCCATTAAAATTAAGGTGTTTCCAATTGATATTTTTGATTGTCATTATTTTTCATGGAAAATTTGTTTTTTCTACCAAAATTTCTACTTTTTTGTTGTTTCATTGATTTTTTTCATGGAAAACATTTTCCTACTTTTGGTCACTGACCATATTTTCCTCAAAATCAACGAAAATATTTTTTGTAAAATTTTAATTTTTAGAAAATTCACTCTCTCTTTCTCTTTCTCATCTATTAACTCTCTCTCATCTACCCACCAATAAAAATCGGACAAATCTACTATTTTATATCTTAAAAAATTAAATCAATCAAACACATTTAATTAACAATTTCGATGCAAATAATTCTAGACAATTAAATTACCTAGAATTTATTCTCTTTCAATGCAAATTCCATGTGAATTTATAAAGATTTCATTAATGGAGGAATTTTAAAAGATTTGGATGGATTTCAAGCTAAAAAATACATATTACCAATTTTTTTTTTTTTTTAAATTTCATCATATTCGATAAGATTCTTGTGGAATTTATAAAAATCTATTCTAATCTACAAAATTCACTATGATTTATAATAATTTAAAATCCATCAAAATATTAGTTGATGACACCATCATTAGATAGAATAACTTCGACATTGTCAACTTATAGCAAAAGAACAAAATCGAAGTACATACCAATACCTAGTATTATTTATTCTTGATAAATTTCAACCTTTTTATTGCCTTTTAATTGAACTTGTCCTTTTTCGAGTATTAAATGATTTTAAAAAACCATCACATTTTAAGTAAATCAAAATATTAAGAAATCTGTATCTCAAAGAGAGGAATAGACTGCCAGTTTTTCTAACTAATATTTTATGTATTAGATTGTGTTTGAGAAAGGAAAAAAGGTGGTTTGAGATTTTTAAGTTTCACGTATTGTAAATCATGTAGAATTAATGCAATAAGTTCCATACTTTTGAAAATTTTATATTAAGAAATATATGCTTTATAAATATTTTTTCTCTATACTTCTACATATAAGTAGAAGGAGCCCGCTACACGTACATAATGAGTTGACAAAGATGTCTTACAATATGACGTGGCAGGGGGGAAATTGTAAAAATATCAAAATGAAAAGAACCGTTTCTCTCACTTTTGCTTCCAAATATTCCCCAAACCTCAAACCTGACTTCCTCCTCTCTCTCCTCATTTCCTTCCCCCTCTCCTCACTTCCTTCCAAGGTATTCGACTCCAAGGTATTCACCTCCAGTAGAGGCCTCACCTTCGACACTTTTTTTAATTTTTATACGCTTCCGACCCGTTCAACACAGTCATCGAAGCCAACGTTGCATCGCGTCATGTCGCGACATTCGACCGCAACGAAACAATCGGTGGACATCCCTGGAATCTCAGCCCTTCCCTTCAACTGACTTGTTTGATTTGCTAATACAAAGGTATTATTCGTTCAATTTTGACATTTTGAGCGATTCGATGCTTTGTTAAGTTGGAAGATTTTATTTGTGTGATTTTGACATTTGTCATCTTCACTTGAGCTTTGTGCACGTGAATGTGACAATCTGTCAAAAAAATTCACTTGCCGGAGTGAAAGTGAAAGGGACGAAGACAACTTGATTAGTGGTTAATAAATGGCTCTATACGTAGGCAATAGGTTTTCACATATTTATGTATTTAATGCATAACATATTGTATCGTCTTCGATGGTGGATAAGCTTGCATTTTCGGTGAAGTAGTTCTATGAATTTTGTTGAAGCTGTGATTCTCAATTTAGTCCATTAGTCTAGCACAGTGTGTTAGTTAATTTTGGTATCACTAGATGTGTTAATTGATGTACCTTGTGCCTTGCTAGAACATTGGGCGTTAGTTCAATTAGTATGCACTTTGGAGTTTACATGAATATCCCGTTACAGTAATTTATGACAATTGTTAATTTATGTACGTTGTGTCATGATGCTTCTTTTTGCATTCAAAATGGAGAAGAAAGTGAGTTCATAATGACTTTTTCCTTGTATCCCACATTAGCAACACAATCTGCAAATTTATTCCCATCTCTCCAAGTCTTTGCTCGTGCTTGCATATGCTGGAATTGAAAATAATTTATATCGAACATTACGCTATCCTTTATTTTTGTGATAAAGAACTTATAGAAATCCCACTCCCCTACAGCCTGTCTATCCCTATTTAAGCTGCCATCAGAATTCAATTTAACCCACCATACAAGACAATAACAGGTTTGATTCTAGGAGACCTGATTTTTGAAGCACGAATTTATTTTGCTTTACTCAATTCTCAACCATAAATCAAATCTTCTAATAATGGTCCCATTACTCTTGGCATCATTCTTATCCACCTAAAGAAACCAAAAAATGATCGGAAGGGAGTATGAAGGCTACGCAAGAGTTTTCTTTTCCTCGGATGACGAGGCTTTGAGTTCCTATTACGGCAGCTAGTTGAGCCAGAGACCCTTGACCCAGGAGATGACCTCTTTGCCCAGAGGCAGAGCAGTAAGGGAAGTACTTGGGGTTGAGTGTTTATTTTGCAAATGTTCAATGCTCATCGGCACATAGATGCAACACTCATCCCATACCTACCAAGAAGACCACCAGAATATACTAATGCAAACAAATTCCTCAATAGCATGTACAAGAACAAGGCATAGTTGCAAACAAAACTCAAGCGGAACAACATAATATCCAACACTAAAATAATTGTCCAACAAATTACACTTGAACGAAATGAATGATTTTTTTTGGAATTATCATACACATTTTGTAAAGGAATGATAACATTTCTCTCATTTAGCAACCCATACATCTATTTATAAAAAAGCAAATGCGTCCACTTTGTTTATCTGTTCGCTTGAATTCAAATGGTCCCATCATGATGCGGTAAATATGGATAGCTGTATGGTATCGCATGACCTAATGTGCAAATTACAATTAATGAACGAAGAGGAAGTATTCAAATTCAAATGTTGTTATTTAAAAATTTTATGTTCCTTGTGAATTGAAAATAACATTTGTGGTCATAGAAGGGATCAAAAAAGAAGACGGTACTTGTTTGTACACATGTGACTCATCCTGTCGACCTATATCAATTCACAGGCGTTAAGACAACATAAAGTGCTTACGACACGCTATAATTAATATACTAACCAATAGGAGTTGCAAATATGAGAACGACATCGGCATGGAATGTTGTTGTTGAGGAGGAGGTGGAACCTCGGGTACACCATCGTCCATACCACAATGTCTCGATGTTGGTCTCTTTACTTTGGTTCGATCCGATCGTGCCTACATGAACACCATAACATGTAAAATAAAGTAAAGAAAAGAGTATGACTGTGACATAAGAATATACCTTTGATTTTTTAGCCCTTACCTCCAATGGGCCTTTTATTTGTTTTCTCTTTAGTTCCCGTTTTGTCTTTAACGATTTCGGATCCTTGATGCTCTCGCTCACAAGATCTTGAGGGGACAGTATACTGCGATATAGTATTACTATCTAAACTCGGTTTCGCCAAACTAAGCTCTTTATTTTGAATTTCTATCCAATCCATGATCGCAGGATATCGCCTTTCATCATCAACTGCAAGGTCTGCCACCTTGGCGAATGCCTGACACATGTCATCTTACCTCAATTGTCCTAGAGTACTAACCAATCCATCATAATTAACTGCGACTTTTGTGTGTGCTCTGTTGATGTCTCTCCTCCATCTCCGCAATATATATTGATCCGACATTATAGTTACGTCATTACGAATCAACATTGTGAACGCATTCCTGCATACTATTCCTTGGAACTCGAACAAGTTACAACTACAAATAATCTCACATTTCTCTGTATTGAATAAGACTAGAAACATTTTTTTTTCTTTTATCAATCGCCCAATAACACTTCTTCATACATCTCATACGTCGTCCCCATATGTCTATCTGAAGTGGATATAAGATCACAATAAACCGTCCTTGTAAATTCACCTTGAACTTCTTTGAACTTCGAAATGGTGTACACTTTTTGATATTGTTTTTCCATTTCATAAGTTGTTGCACACGGTACTATCTAAGAGAAAGACTTGAAATCAGCCTAAAATTCCTTCTCAACCTTATTCCACAATGCTCGTTTATACTGTTCAACAAATTGTTTCAATGATGTCTTGAAATGCACATAACCATCGAAGACAATGTTTACACTCTCACTTCTTTGCGTCATTGACATCCTAGCCTAGAAAGTTGTCTTCAAGAAACACGGACCCAGTGACCTCTATTATCATACAATCTCGACAACCAATCGTTATCATGCAAGTCATTTGTATTAATCACCAATTTCCAACCATTCTCAAATTCTTTGACGAACTGTGAATCATACACCAAAGTGTGTATAGCCGAAAATATTGAAGACTTATCTACATGGTATCCAAACTTTTCTGGAAACTTTTTCAAAATATCCCACAAGCATCATGTATGTTTCGTGTTCGGAAAGACTATCTGAATTGCATTATGCATGCCCCTATTTTATCAGTCATTATTCCGTGCGGAGCTTGATCATGCATGTACTAAAACCATGTCCTGAACAATCATACAAATGTATCCGTGTCCTCGCTCGTTACCAAACCACAATCTAGCAACGTCGATTATCCATGATGATCCACGCCAACAAAAGAAGCGAACGATATATTGTACTTATTAGTAAGGTAAGTAGTATCAAATGTAACAATATCCCCAAACTCATTGTGTGCTTGCCTACATCGATTGTTTGCCCAGAACAGATTCTTCAGACGCGAATCGTTATCTAAGTCAATACTAAAATAAAATCCCGGGCATTATGCTTGCATTTTAGAAAAGTAAGACTATATTGCTATTGCATCACCCTTGCCAAGTCTTAGTTGTCTTATTTGTTCAATATAGTTCCGACAATCCTTTTTCATGCAAGTCATATTCTCATAGCCTCCTGCTTCAATAACTGCGGAGTTAAAACTTTTGTGGAATGATATACCGGCCATATCGTTTACTTCAAGCTTTCGTTTCACATGTGCGCTTAATTCTCTGTTAAATCGATACAACCTGGACTTAGTAGGACTTGTCTTATGGTTGTGGTTAAGGTGGACTTTGTTAATTTTCTAGTAACCACGAATATCGAACGATGCAGAGATTCTAACTTTACAACTTGTCTGAATTGTTGGTTATGGCTTTATAGAATTGCTTGTTTTATCGTTTCTTCGTCATTCCCGACTACATGTCAACGTGACATATCTTAAAACACCATCATCATCCTTCGTTGAACTCCTCTTCCTAATTGGAAAACCCACTATATATGCATATCTTGCATAAAAATCGTACACTTCTTTTTTATTCTTAAATTGCATACCAACCTCAGCACAATATAATCATCTCTTCATATAGTTTCCTCTTTCATAACATTTACATTGCCTTCCACATTCTCATTTTCATATTCAACGAACAAATCATCTTCCACATTCTTGCCTTCTTCAAAACGTAAATACTATATGTCATCAACTGATATTAAACTATGATTAAACATATAACTCATTTTAGTGGATATGTGTACCGATCTTCCAAAACTTTCATCATCGAATATATTAGGGCAGAAGTCCAGTATATTTGGTTAACTAAAATGTACAAATGAACGAACTAATTAAAAAGGAAATCTTACAATTCTGCACAAAAAAAAAAAAAAAAAAGATTCAATTTCAATAGTGTTTTGAATTTCTTATATCTCATAACTAAATTAATTGATGCAAAAATCCAATTTCCCAGTAAGATTTCAAAATTTTAAAATGCTATTAGTTCCATTTCTCAAACACCAACAAAATCTAACAGCTCAACTCAAACCAAGAAATTCCAACCTACAAAACAAAAGTATCCATACCTTCTTATGTGACAATCGAGTGTGGCCGAAGATGGAGAAGATAGCTGAATAAGATAAGTTCGAGTGGAGAAGATAGACTGGAGGTGCGAGCTTGGACATGGCGTTGATGTTGGGTCTCTTGCTAGCTGGCCAATCTTTGGATTTTTGCTACACAACGTCGGGGAAATTTTTGGAGTTTTGCTACAAGTCGTTGGGCGTTGATGCTGGGTCTCTTGCTACCTAGCCAATCTTTGGATTTTTGCTAATTGTTGGATTTTTGCTATAGGTCATTGACGAAATTGTTGGAATTTCGCTACAAGTCATTGGGGAAATTTTTGGAGTTTTGCTACATTATTGTTGGGGAAATTGCTAAGCTCAACTGCAAAAGACTGGGAAAAATGTTGGATTTGAGTATTATTATAGCGGTCCCTCAATTTTGGCGCCTTAAATTCCCGCTTCTCTCTTTTAAAATCACAACCGTCTAAAGGCTTTTTATCTCGGCCGTATACGTGTCTGTCAACCCATTTTGTAATTCTCCTATGTACTAGTAGCATTATTGGTCTATAATTGAAAAGAGAAAATACTTATTGAAGTGTGAACAAGACGTACAAGACTTTGGCATACTCAATAGAAAATGCCTAATTATAATAGCATATACCATTTTAAAATTATTAACTTATTAAATATACGTATCTAATACAGGAATGTCAATTATACAATTTAAAATAAGTCAAGTGTTTCTTTGATATAACATAGAATGTTGTCAAAAAGTTGTGGTTAAGGTTAACAATTAAATTAATAACATATTTCTTAAAATTCACAATTCTTATCAAACTATCAATATTATTTGATTAACTTTTATTAAAATCTACTAAATTTGTTATCAAAAACTTTTTAGATATACCCCTAAATAACAATGGCATAAGCTAGACTCTTCATGTCGGATTTTAATATGGGTTAGCTATTCTACTATATATTCTATTTTTCCATTTGGACCCCATTAGTTTCTATTACATTACATTATATTTTTCTCTCTCCTATTTTTCACTACATAATCTTTTATAAAATAATATTACACGTAAATCGAAAACTTTTCTTTCTTTTTCAACCACTCATTTTTTTTTTTAAAAAAAAATTACTATTCTACTCCTTTTCAACTCTACAAAATGGGGGTCAAACCGGGGTTTAGTTATAAGTGTATAAAATCTAGGAAATAGAAAATATATTTTAAGGGCGTTAAAATCACATGTGGTCATACAAATTTCTTAATGATTTGATTTACGTTGTTTTTGAGTCCATTTTTTGTGAAAATAAATTTTATAATAGTGAATTTTTGGAAAACATGTGATTGAAAAGTAGAAATAAATTTTGGATTTATGTGTAAAATTATTTTATTGAAAAAATGAGTAATTAAAAATGATTTAGAGAAAAAATGAGATTTCTCTCTCTCTCTCTCTCTCTGAATGTGGTTCTTAGCTTAGTTATTACATTCACACCACATGGCATTTATAAACACATTACATTTTAATTAAATTAATCTTTATCAATTATTACACTTATATCCTTAACTTTTTTCATCACATTCTTATTTTTAACATTTCATTAATAAAAAAATCTTTCTCTTAATCATGATTTTCATCCATATTTATTATAATGTGTTTTAAAATGAGAGTCAAATATTTAACTGCATTTTATATTATTATTTATTTTGCTTATTCAACACTATAATAAACAAAATAATCTTTTTAATCTATTTTAAAGAGAATTTTGGATAGAAACAACAACCATGAATAATTTAAAAATAAGAGTGAGAAGAAAAAAACTTGAGGGACATAAATGTGACAATAAATTATAAAACTTTTATACAATTAAAAATTTAAAATACAGTCTAGCTATTCAAAAGCCATTGCGTGAAAATATATTTAACCTTAAAATATGAGGGTCTTTTGAAACTCATTCAATGGTCACAATTAGGGACGGATTTAGGTGGGGACTAGCTAGGCTGTAGTCCCTTCCCTCCCCCTCCGCCCCCCCGCCTGGTCCAATTAAAATTTTTTTAGGGTAATTTTCTTTCTTTATTTTTTTTTTTTTAAAAACAGATTTTTAATGAGTAAAATTTTTTTCTCGTATTAGTCCGGCTTGAAATTTTTTTAGCCCAATCTTGAATTCAAATCTGGATCTGTCTCTGGTCACAAGAGGATAAGTTCAATCAGAAAGAGATAAAAGAGGTACAAATTTATTGCCATATTTATTTATCTAAAATCAAATTCGTTTTGAAAATAAATTTTCTAAGTCGATTTATTATAGGATATTAAAATTTTACCACAACCACCGTGGAATAAACTCAACTTGGATATCATCCCATTGAAAACATTGGAATATTGCTTTAACTAGTAGATCAATAGTCTAATTCCAAATCTAGATATTAAAAAAAAAAAAAAAAATTTATCTTCATCGAAATTCATTGCTCTATGTCAACTAAGGTTGTTAAACACTTGATTTGAATAATAAAACGAACTCCACATTTAGATTTTAATATATAAAATGATAAAATGTCAAACTTTTAAATTTGTGTAAAACATGATTAATAAAGGCAATCACTTCGTGACTACATACAATTGCTTCGTGCCTATGTTTAACTTATATTTATAAACTTTTTAAAAAAATTTAAATCACTTTTTATTCATACATTTTGAAGGATTTACAAATATTACTCATTTATTCACGACATTCATATCTATTTGTAACCTAAATTTGTTTTTAAATAATTTAAACGATTTATAAACACCTCTCAAAAATACTTTGCTGTCTGAAACAAGCATCACACAGAAACCTAACTTTCTTATATTAATCTTCAACTAATCTTGTGATTTTGGAATTCTCAAAAATAAATAAAAGAATAAAAGAATTATCAAGATATTTTATTCCAGCAAATAAGACATTTTTGTCTAGTTCCTCGACGTAGAATTTTATTATTATTATTATTATTTTTTTTTTTTTGCTTCCAAGTAGACAAGGTGAAACTTAAATGGATAACTGTTATCCTCTTTCTCAAGGATAGTGACAAAATTTTTCTCCAAATGTTGTGTACACAATTTCAACAATAATTGAGACTCAGATCAATTATTTCCTCGATTAAGTTACTGAACTGTTGTTTTGACAAATGTATCAATGATATCGATTCTCAATCTAGATGTAAAAATATATATTTTTGAAATAAAACATTATTTATACATATGACAATTATTGATAGACTCAAATCAATTATTAGCACCGTACACTAATTCGGAGAATATATCTCGACAATAATTGATAGACTCAGATCGATTATTTACTTCATTAAGATACTGAGCTATTACTTTGACAAATGTATCAATGATCGACTCTTAATCAAAATGTAAAAATATATATTTTTTTAAATAAAACATTATTTATGGATATCACAATAATTTATAGACTCATATCGATTATTGTCATTCACTTTGGAAGCATCCGCGAATTCGAAGAATATATCTCACCAATAATTAATAGACTGAGGTCGATTATTTACCCGATTGAGATATTGAGATATTAATTTGACAAGTGTATTATGACCAACTCTTAATCTAGACATAAAAAAAAATATATTTTTTGAAATAAAAACATTATTTATAAAAATAAGTTTAAAAGTTAAATGTATTAGGGGGTGTATTCAAGTGGCCGGACTTATAGTGATTTCAAACTATTGTATAATTGAAGACTTTTATTCAAAATAGAATTCACGTAAATATAGTGCAACAATGTGAAGTTCTTAGTGGTGGTTTCCAGAATCATCTTTTCCCCTCTCCATATAATAAAGATATTTTTAAAATAACAAAAATTTAACTCACTTTAATTAAATAAATGATATTCAGAATGATATATACAAATATTGATAAAAATATTTGATATTTAATATTATCAATATGACATATCTTTAAAGAGTAAACAAAAAATTAATATATTTATATAAAATTATTTATAACTCTTTTTTTTTTATATAAAATCATATAATTAATTACAAATAAATCTTTTTGATAAAAAAAATGAATAAAAAAAGAAAAAAATTATAAGAATTTTTAGCTGCAATTTAATTTTTCGTAAATAATTGAGATAAACAATAAAAGAGAGAAAAAAAAGAGTGACAAATATAATCGGAAATTTTTTTTATTTTTATTATTATTATTTTTAATCTTTACTCTCCATAGAAGGAATAAAAGAAAGATACAAAAAAGTGCATATCAAAATTTATTTTTGTGAAAATCCCCCAAAATCTTGGATGAATGAGAGACAATTTTTGAGATTTTATTTTTTTATCATCTGTTTAAAAGTTAATTCTCTGAAAACTTTTATAAAAAAAAGTCATTGACAATTTGAATATTCCAAGACTTACGTAGACTTTTAAAAATTTTAATTGAATATACCATGAATTTTAAAGACTTTTTAAAAATCTATAATAGTCTCAATTGAGTATATGAATATATATAGGGTCTTAAAAAGCCTACATTGGATATCCCTAAACTTTTTGAATGCCAATACATTTCTAAAAGTTTCGGTTGAATACAACCCCTTTAGACATCTCTAGGAAACTCTTTAAGCCCACGTTTGGTATTAATTTAAATTAGATTTTAATTTAAGAGGGCGTTTATTTTCCATTTTTGTTAAAATGAGAATTAAAAATATAATCGTTATGGATCCACATAAGAGATAAAAATTCAAATTTGATGACTTGATTTAATGGATAACAATCATATTTTTTATTTTAATGGGGGAAAAAATAGGAAACAACAGGGGCTAGGTCAAACAATCAATATATTTCATGGGTCTCACAGTTTTTTAATCACACATTTCAAAAATTTCTATCAAAATCTAACTTTAATCACCTTCAAACATGGGCTAAATATAAGATTATCTTTATTTTAAAGAGTTAATCATTAAAGTTATTCTTTAAATGACTCTTCAAATTAATATTGTAAAATAAAGAGTGAGTTTGACTCTTTAAAAGATATGGAAAAATAATAAATAATATAGGAAGATAATACAATAGTTTGGAAGAAAACTACTAAAAATAAAAGATAAGAAAAAATTAATAAATGCTTTTTTTGGGAGTAGTAAAATTAAGTTTTACAAATAAAGAGCCTAATGAAGTACTTAAAAATTTTTTGTTCTCCGAATTTATAGATGCTCTCTCTCTCTCTCTCTCTATATATATATATATATATATACATATTTTTTTTTTTAAATAGAAAGTCTTTTGAAGGTAATATTAAAAAGTAGCAATGAATTTATTAATGAATAATGATATATAACTCCATTGGATTTGTAACACTAGTCTATATGATATTGATATGACATTAAATGATTCATTTAATTTATTATTTAA